CAAGTGGAGAACAGTTTCACTCTACAGATATCAGAAGACAGTGTAGATCCTGAAGGTCTCAGTGAAACTTGTCTCTTTAAACCTTTATGTGACTTGCAGTGTAGTACAAAGATCAAGATGACTCCAGATTCCTGTAGTTCTAATACAGTGAATATTAACCCAGGAACATCCTGTGCACAGGATACCAACTAAACCCAACTGGGTATACTACTCCCAGAAAAATCACCAGATTACACAGTACCCTCTGGCACAGAACATGGAATTATTAGAATAAAGAGAACTGAGAGAGGTTTCAACACCAGTTACTTGGTCAGGCATGAGGAGAAAGTTTTCAGCTTTTTTGTGGATCACTTTGTAGTGTTCAAATATTTTACTTTTTACATTTTCATTCATTGGAGGATTTTACACCACTTTGTTCAGTTTCCCAATGTTTCAGTGGGATAAGTGCATCACTTGAGGCTTTTACACTACACAGAATTCGGTTGAAGCATGACCCCCACTTGAAACCTTTCCCAGTATGGAGCAAAGTCCTCCAGGTTTTATGTTCGTTTTGTAAACTGAAGTGATTGAGTGACACAAAATGTGAAAACTTCAAAGGCTTTTGAGTTTGAATATTCTGCACAGCTGTTGTTTAGCATTGAATATGGATTTTACTTGTGAGATACTTGGTGTTGTATTGCAAAACTGCATTATGTGAAGTCCTCTGCCTTCAAATTGATGAAAGCAAACAGTGCTTACTTCCATGAGTAACCCCATCTGTTTCCATAATACACTCTTAGGGGAAAGATTAAGAAAAAAAGGAAACAAAGAGCTGTACTCTGCTGGGAAACTTTGCTATTTTATATTGAAGCTCTGACCACCCAGTTTACATTTCTTTCTGTATGTATAAATGCACATATATTTTGTTATTAATTTACATTCATTTAGAAGGAATATGGCCAAGTGGAAAGAGCTCTGGCTGGACTTAAAAAGTATTTAATATTTTCTTATCTCTGTCAATTTCCCCTGGCTGACATTGAAAAAGTATTGACCTTAAACATATGACTGTTCTTTGTCCATGTGTGAAATGGCAGAATGCAACAAGGCCTTTTGGAGAGTGCTTTGAGAATTTATGGAAAAAAACAGTAAGAAGTGAGTAATGTTAGTAGGGTTAGAAAGAAAGAGTAGTTTTAGAAAATTTGTACTAATAAATCTGCATGTGACTGTGTAAACAAACAAGACTTCAATCCTACAACTGGTTCTCTAGCTGAGATCTATTCCTAGTCCAGCTCTTCTACTGACCAGCCTTTGGCTGTTGATGGTTTAATCAGCAAGGAAGAGGTAAATGGTGCCAGGTCAGTAAAAAATAGGAAAGCATTACCAAAAATCAGCCCTGAAAGGAAGCAAGATCAGCACAAACAGCATTAAACTGGGAATCATCCTAACTGGGTCCATTCCTGATTACTGTTTATGAACTGGATAATGTTGGGGTCACAAAACTGAATGACAAATTACTTCCTTTCTCACTGCCTCAGTTTCCCCACTTGCAGCTGTACTTAACTGTACTTTGGGAATTTACATGCATGTTTCAGATATTACAGTTTTATGTGCAGCAGGAGAAGGTGGGGATCTACAAGAGAGGAGCATGGGAGGAGAGAAAAATGCACATAAGTAACATAGTCTAAAAGGAGGACTGGGGTACAGTTGTTAAGCATCTTAGACTTAGTGAGACTTCTCCACAGTTAATCTGTGGAGGGAAAGAGAGCAAATATCATTCCTCCAAGCTAAGATGTAATGCTGGACTGCATCAGTACTGGCCTATTCCCACTTCTGGGTGGCTTTGGGAGCAAGGGATGCAAGAGAATGTATATCATTATATGTGTTATTACCTATCCCCAGGGATGTATTTGAAGGCATGGATGGATTTCAAGGGCTGTTACTCCTAAAAGTAAAGTTCCATTTTGGTGTTGCCTTGATTCATGTTTACCCCATGAGACTGCCCATGACAGACATCCTTTATCTGTGCTGTGCTGGGACAGGTGGCCTCTTTGCCTTGCAAACACAGCTGATGTTCCCACATGCCCCAGGGAATAAGGGCATTATGGAGATGGACTTTAACTGAATTGTCTGTTTCTCAAAGGCCAATGTTTCTTTTCTTTTTTTTTCCTTGTTCTTTTTGGCAAGAGTTGCTTTCTTCTTCCTTTTGGAAGGCATCTGTACAGACTTACTTTAAAAAAAGCCCTCAGAGGACAACACCCTCCCCTTTGGTTTGGCTTTTTTCACATTAACCTTAAGGGCTGCTCAAGCACACTGCCCGTGTTTAGCCTTAAGCCCTTTGTCACCAGAAGTTTTTTTTCTTCCCCATATACTGAGTCAGCCAAACCTAATTACCCTTTAATCAGTAAAATCAACACCTGCTAACAGGGTGGGCTCTTTTCAGCAAATAGTGCTTCCCTTTTCCAGAGGCTGCTAAATTTCCAGGGGTCCTATTGTTTCTTTGTCTTGCTCATAAGGAGCTTTGACTGATAATCTGGTAATAGGTATGGTTATCTCATGCCTGTAAAACAGCAGTGGTGAATCTTCCTCTTGGCAAGGGTAGCAGAACTAGATGAGACAAGAATTATACATAGATGCTAGGAGTCAAATCTCCTGGTATTTTCCCTTTAAAACTTAGGTCTGCCCTGGAAAAATATGGGTCAGAGAGGTTTGGCAGGTGGGATTAAAGTATCAGGTGAAATAAAGAGCAAGGCAGCCTGTAGAAGCTCCTGGTTTTTTATCTTGCTTAAGCAGCCCTCTGCAAAAAAAAAAGTAAGGGGGCAGAATTGTCTGCAGAGAGCAGGGACTGGGGCTGGATTTTACAGAGCCCGTTGGATCTCAGGCTGTGTCTGTGCTGTTAGGGCAGCCCAGAGCCACCACTGTCCTTGAGGAGACATCTGCAGCTTCATGGGAGACCCTCAGGGTGTGAAGAGGTGTTGTGGGAAGGAGGTGCTTAGGTGCAGACCAGGCCAGAACAGCCTCTTGTTCCTGTGGTCATGGACAGGATTTGAGCTCGAACTCCAGATTTACCACTCTGCTCTCATCCTCTGGGTGGCTGCTTGGAACCTGAGCAATTGGCATATGGGCAGAAGACAAACAGGGCCACGGGACTTACAGCTCCCCTTGGGGTCTGCTTCTAGTACACAGACCATCCCAGGACAGACTTCTGGTGGAAAAAATTACTCTGGTATTCATGGCAGCACTCTTGAAAATGTCTTTCACATGTAATCAGGCAGCCAGTTTGATATTCATCTGAGAACAGCTGAAACATTGTTAGAAATTTCGGAATAAGAAACACTTTACAAGTTCAGTCAACTCTGAAAAAACCCCGGAGCCCTTTGCGCTGAAGTTTCTTATACTTGTTTTTAGCTCTAAAATCAATGTTTTTGGAGAGCTCCACTTAATTTCTTGTGGATGAACAGGACAGAGGAGTGAAAACCACTTGTGGTTTTCCTTGGATGTCTACAGTGAGGTTGTTTTTGCTGGATAGGTGCTGCAGCTTTGTTCAGCAGTTTTGTGTGAGCCTGGCCCTGTGGCTGCCACCCTTGGCAGCCCCACACAGTGCAGCTCCTTAGTTTGACTGTATGGTTACACAGGCTGCTAAATTGCTGGTGCTGGCTTTGCCTGTGAAATACACCCTCCTCTCTCTGTACCAATACTCAGCTCCTGCCCTAGCCTGGATATGTGGGATATGGCCATTATTTACATGCAAACATATGCCTGAGCTGCAGCTAAAGCTGGTGACCAAAGCCCAGGATCTCCTTCCTGTACCCATCTATTTGTGTCACCAGTTCTCAGCTCTTTCAAATTAACATGACTAACTTGATGCTGCCAGGATATGGATGAAAATCAGGCAGGATCAAATACTGGATGTGCTTCCAGGTGAGGTGGAGCCTTCATTTGACTCCACAGGGTGAGCAGTGCTCAGTGAGCATCTAAAGTCATGCTAGGAAGTTAAAGTAATTGCTAAGGAAGGAGCCAGGACTCCCGGGTCTCAAGGCCAGGTTGGATGGGAATAGAACAGAGTATAAAAAATTATATTCTGAGCCTGTGTTCTCTTAAGAGCAACTTGGTCTAGTGGAAGGTGTCCCTGCCCATAGTAGAAAGGCTGGAGTTAGATGATCTATAAACTCTGTTCCAACCCAAACCATTCCACAATCCTATGAAAACCATAGGTCTGGATCGGCTGAAAAACCCTCTGTTGAGTTTGATGGAGGATAGAGGAGTCCAGTGGGTTAGGGGAGCCTGGCATGACTTTCTGCTGTCAAAAGATAAGCGAGTTTTGGATATGTGGCTGACACCAGTCCCAGTCCTTCAATGAGATCCAGGAGGGTTTGATCCCTGGGCCTGTGCAAAGTCTCCTCCACTGTAGGATCACTCTCAAGAGGGGACACAGAATTTTCCTGTCACCAGTCTGGCAGGACACTGCTGCTCACACTGATTTCAGCAGCATATACAAATACCTGTCAGAGCAGAAATCCATGTGAATTCAGATGCTTTGCTTTGGGCTCCCTGCTTTGAAAACTCTGCTCATCCTTCTGTCTGTCTGTGCCAGAGAGACAAGAGCCCTGCATATCTAATCCAACAATAGCTGGGCTCCTCCAACCCGGCCCCTCAGGGCACCCCTTTCCCCGACTGCCCCCCCAGCAGCTCGCAGTGCCACAGCTGGACAGCTGCACAAGTCTGCAGCAAATTTGGGCAAAGAGGTGAAGAGGTGCCTTTTAGGACCCTGGGAACTCCGCCAAGGCTCAGGTAGGTCTGTCTCATTCGTCAGCCGGGATTCATTCACTCCCAGGGATGTGTGTGTGTGTGTGTGTGTGTGTGTGTGTGTGTGTGTGCCGAGTGCTTTTCCTTCCCCGCCGCTGGCTGCGAGCCTTCCCAGCAATGGGACTAACGCTGCTCTCCGGGCAATGAGGAGTGCTGGGCAGGGACAGGAACCGCTTTCCTTTCCTCGGGAAGAAAACAAGCCGTGAGGACACCTAAGGATGTGCTGCCCAGATGTGCTGCCCACCTCCACCTTCCTCCTAGGACTCATGTGCTTGACAGCTTTCAGCAACTTTGCCAAGACTTCTGCAGACTTCTCAGGTAGGGAGAAGCTCCGATCCCTCCTATCCCTCCGTGTGCTGCTCGTGCATGGGGGCTCTTATCCCAGTGCTCAGGAGCAGCTCGGGGAAAGGGGATGTGAGCAGATCTGGGATAGTTATGTGGGAAGTAATTTTAATCTTTTAAAAATAAGCCAAAGATGAGAAGTGTCTTCCGTAAGAGGATTTTGAGTTTCTTAAAAGCCTTTCTCAATAATTAGCAGACCTATTTCAAAAGAGTTAGTCTGACTAACTTTGGAAACAAGAGAAACAATAGTGTTAACTTGTGTAAGTTTGTAGCAGGAATGGTATTAACCTGTGTAAGTTTTTAGCAGGTTTTGTGCTGTGCTTCTCACAGGAGTGAAAAGAGGTGGATTAGGAGACTGGGATGGTTTAGGGTGTAAATTAAAGCTAACATAGCAAGTCTGAATTATTTTGTAGTGGGCCAGATTCCCTCCTCTTAATATACAGCTCCTGGTTGTTGCAAAAGCCCCTTGAGCTGAGATAAAGGAGGTGCATGCACAGAACAAATTATATTCTGAGCCTGTGTTCTCTTAAACTGCAAGAAAAAAATCTCATTTAATAATATCTTCTGAATCTAAAAATGTTGATAGCACTTGTTTGGAGTTGTACACAGCAGGTAAATACCCAGTACTTTCAAAGTCTGGAGTCCCATGTAAGTTTTATAACTTTATAGCTGCACTAGTTGATTTAAAATTATGTTTCTGCTTCTGTTCTTTCTGGATGTGCATGTGGATCTGAGAAAACAACAGATTTCATTTTGCAGCTTCAGCAGGGCTGATCAGTTTGCTTGGGAGTGCCCAGTGAGGGCCACTTTTCTTTTAGGATATTGGTTCTAATTTTGGGTCTTAGTGTGAATAACTAGCCTGGCATACTCTTTAGGGGTGTTTTGCAAAACTCTTGTCATGGATAAGAGCTGCCAATTATAGTTTGCTGATGAAAAAGAGTCATTTGCAAGGGTTGAACCTCACTGGACTTGGGTTTCAACACATCCCAGCACTGCTGCTCACTGCCTGGGAGTGCATGTGTCTGTGTGCTGTGAGAAATTTGTGTTAGAAAGGAGGAGCTTGTGGTGGAGGGTGGGGGAAAGAATATGTACGGTGCTGGAAGTCTTAATGTGAATTGAAGGGGGCTGGCTTGCCTGTGATTCAGTCTCTTTTGGGGGCACATCAGTCCTGGGGGCTCCCATTCAAGGCAGATCTGCCTCTGAATGGAAAGGACTGAGGCATTTCCCTGTTTCTGGTGTGCTTTTATCCTTTTCTTGGCACTGAGCTTTCTCTGTGCTCCTGCTTGCAAGCAAGTTGATTCAGAAGGGGTGCATGGACTAGGCATGAAGGGAGCAAAAGCTGCAATGGGGAAAGGAGTTGTCTTTCTGAAATGTAGATAAAGTTTTCCCAGCCAGGCCAAATTGCTGTGTTAAAATGTGTCCAGGTGTCCCAGGGCAAAGGTGCTTTACATCATGTTTGTACAACATAGCTGCAACAGTGGAAGGAAATTAGATAGGCTTAAGTGCTGCTGGCAGGAGGACCAGATGCTGTTCTTTTAAAAATGGATAAGAAAGTTGCTGATAACAAAATAATGTTTTCTGTAGCATCCAACTGAACTGTCATGCTTTGGGAGAAGAGGGGTGGCTGGTATCTCTGCATATGTGTGTGGCAAGACTGTACTCTGAAGCAGGGTCTGTAATCCCAGCAGCACAACCTCCCATGAGTTTCCATAACTGTTGAAACCTTCTGCCAGGTCCAACCTATGTTTCCTGATAGCAGGCTTGGCAAATGTCCCCAGTCTTGTTGGACTGACTGTACCTTGCAGGACAGGAAACATGATTTGCTGCAGGAAAGGGCTGTACCCAGTGTGTAGCAGCTCAAATGTAGTTTTGTAAGCTCAGGAGCTGAGTACCCACAAGATGATAGGGGGTAGGGAAAGGTACAGCATTTCCCAAATCACACCTTATGCTTTCCCAGCACATTTGCATTCCCTCCAATGCATGAGGTTTTGCACCGTGTGCCTCTCTGAAGGAGCAGCAGCCCAGGTAACTCTTCCTACCTGATGGAGCATCTTGTTTCTCACTGTTATCCCTATAAGTGAATTGTCAGCTGGCTTAAGGAATGGAAGGACGACATCCTTCTAATATTATTTGACTGTAATTGTTTCTGGCGTGTTATACACTTTTCTATACTTCAGCATGTTCTGAATTCTTCTCTGGCATGACTGGAATTGAGCAGGTGAAAATCTTTGGGGACAATTTATAGCTTTACATGTATGCCATCCCACCTAGAGGTGGTGCATCCAAAACATAAATTGTCTGCACCCCAGGGAGATGAGTGGATTTGTATTGGGTATTACTGCTGAGGAATGTAAGCCTTGCTATGATCCCACAGAGTTTTCTGCAGCAGTTGGTGCTGCAGGGAGATGACACAGCTCTTTGGGATGTAAAGGCTTTTCCAGCTTGCAAATGAATAGCACTACTGTCCAGAGATAGCAGCTGATGCTCTTTGGGGAAGAATGGGGGTTTAAAACTCAGTCCTGTAGACCTTGTATAACAGCAAAACCGCTCTGGCTTCTCAGCTTGGTTTCACCCAGCATTACCAGGAGGTGCTGCTGTTTGTAATAGGTCATGGCTGTGTGGTGGGGGCCAGAGTTTTTGGATTCAGCCCTGGAGGGAAAAGCTCAGGGATAACCAGTCTTGAGCTCTAAGAGATCATAAGTCAGCAGCTCTGACCTGACTCTCATGCTGCAGCTCTGCAATAGGGCTGGATAAAAGACTTACCAAGGATTTCAAACCCAACCACATCCCACTGCTCCCAATACTCTCCACTGCCTGGGTCTTCAAGGGATGTGTCTCTCAGCTGCAGGAAGATATGATTTTTATGCAGGTCATGACAAGGCACACCCTGAGAAGGTGGTCAGACATGTGGTTAATTGAGTCTCAGCTCTCACAAGAGAGCACAAGCAGAGCTGGTGGGGATTTCTAATCCCTGAACACACAGCACACTCCATATCCCTCCTGTTTGAACAGCTCAAATGCCACAACGTGAACATGAGCAGTGCGTGTCCTGCTGGGGACTGGTGCAATCTGAGATGTAAGAATTCAAATTCCTTTTAAGTGAAGTATTTGAACTATGTGAAGAGTTTTGAAGTTGTTTTCTTTAATAGTTCTTTAAACATTGATGTTTGTAGCAGGGTGTGGGGGTAGGAAGCAGATCCTGAGGGAGAAAGTGGGCTTATCAGGCACTTTGCAGCCACTTCTTAAGAAGACCTGGACTTTTTCTCTGTGGCTGCTTTTAGAATGGACTCTTGGTTTAATCTCATTCTGTGATCTGTTCTCGTGCTCAGGACTGTTTGAAGACTTAGAACCTGCTGTCTTGATGTGTCACTTTCCCCTAATGTTAAAGGTTTTACTTGAGGACTGTGATGAGGTGTGGGGTTAGAATCTGATCTTTTGAATCTCTGTACATTAACCATAAACCTCTGGTGCTAATCTCTGCAGCAGCAATGAATTCTACAAAATCCTTGCTGTTTGATAAAACTTGACCTTTGTTTTAGTCCCTTTCTAATTTTAGTGAGAGTCTAAGACAGAGCAATGCCCTTGGCCCTGCCAGGGGAAACTGTGCCATAGCTCCTCTGCATGGGCTCTGGGAGGCAATGATCCATGTGCACTGCACAGGCCTTGCTCCTCAGAGGGACAAAGTTAATGAAAATGGGGCCAAAATTAGGCTTTGGTGCTAACTTTAAATGCAGGCATTGAAAGCTTAGTCAACAGCTATTGCTCATATCCTGTGTGCTCTCTCTGCTCAGCCAAGATGTTCCTGTCTCGGAAGCTAAGTCATGCAAACACATTTTGAATTTTGCTCTGCCCACTGCTGCCAAGGTGACCATTTAATTTCCAGCTGCATACCTGCAAGGAATTAAACTTGTGTTGTTATCATGCCATGCTCTTATTCTCCTCAAGGATTTTCCCATTCATTAGCTGATTTCAGGCATGTTGGGCAGGAGTGTGGTGGCTTCAGATCTATGGGATTGCCACAAGTTTCATGTTAGTGCAGACAGGTACCTCCACTACTGCAGAAAGGGCTGTGAACTCAAGCATTTACAGACATCAGAGAATCCACTGCAAGCACCTAAGCCAAAAACTTAGGTTTCTAGGCATGGAAACAGCTTGGCTGGGAGCTAGTGCCTTTTTTGACACAGGAAAACCCAGCTGAAAGAAAAACCAGCCCTGGTATGCTGCTCTCCTTGGGCCTGCTTTAATGTTTATGTTCTTTGCATTAGATTTTGGCACAAGCTGGATGTGAGCAGCACTTTGCTTAAGGGAGCTGATGTGGCATTGAGCCAGATGAACACAGGTAACTCCCATCCACACCCTGCAGGTGAGCCCTGGGTAGCATTTGGAACCTCTCCCTGGGGGCCCATCTTGGTTTTGAAAGCATAAAAATTTTTGTTGCTGTTGTTATTATTATTGGTGGTGGTGATTGGTTGTTTTTTTTTTCCTTTTCCCCAAGAATATCAGGTTTCAAGTGAAAGCTGCTCTTGCCACCTCCCTGCTAATTGGCTCAGTGTGTTTGTTTGAGTGATGAGGGTTGGAGTTGGGGAGGGGAAAGGCACTTCTCCCTGATTGCATTTAATCAGTCCATAATAAAGGCAATTTGTTTGACAACTCCATTCACCAAATTATCATCAAAATCTACATGCTAACAGGTTCTGAATGCCTAATAGCCCTGAATGGGTCCATGGTGTCAAGGGGGATCCAGGATTTCCATGTGTTGAAGGTTTCAGGCTGTAAAAGAGGGAATTTTCAAGAGAAAGGCAGATGCACCACCACACTGGAAAATAAATTGTAATTCAGTAATGAGGGTTGAGTTTTTGACCTCAGGGGCAAGCAGACATACTTTAGGCTTTGCTTAAAGCCTGGGCCATGTCTAGGCCACCTCCATACCTTGTCTTGGGGAAGGGCTCTGAGTGATGAGGTAGGATGGACCTCAG